ATATGTATATGTATATATGCCAGGAATATAGCTCAGGTGCACAGCATCTGCCTGGCGAGCACAAGGTCCTGAGGTCAATTTCCAACACCACAAAATAAAAAAAAGTAAAAGAGTTGAAGCAAAGCACCGTACCACTTGAAGACCAAGCTGTGTGTGAAACCCCATTTCTGCATCTATGGCCTATTTCTATGCCAGGTCCTGAGTCTGACTGCAGGGTAGATACTGTGCTAAACTATGTGAATGAAAAGCAGTGAGAGAAGTTTTGTTTAGTTTATCTGCCTAATGAGTTTCCTTTGGAGTGAGTGCCTTAGAAGAGGTGTAAATTTTTTTAAAGTGGAAAGCAGTTTTCATTTTGTTGAGCAGATTAAACTAAGTAACTTGGTGTAGTTTTAGGTTATAGAAGTGGATTGGTGGCTTGGTATGCATCCCATTGAGGAATTCAGATCCAACAGCTAAGAGAGAGGGTGGGGGTGAGCTCCTCTGTCCATTTGCATCTGCAGGATGATTGCACTGCCTCTCAGAGCAGGGTACTTCTAAGAGTGAAGGATCCAGCTGTAGCAGCTGGGGCAGCTGGAGAACACGGGCGCTGTGCCTCCAGCAGGTCACCGTTAATGTTTGACTGCAGAGGCCTGGGCTTGATTGAGATTTGAGCAGAGTTTTTTCCTTGGAGTGGGAAGTGCAAGGCAGAATGGATTTGTAACTTGATTGAGAGTTACCACTGGTGTCTGCTGTCTGTCCTGGGATGTCAGTGTTTCCTTCTATCTCAATAAAACTGAACTTTATTAAAGGTTTTTGGACATTATAGTAGGAGTCATAACTCATCATAACTGGACTCTGCAAGGACAATTAATTGTTAAATACATTTATTTAATGTTAAAAGATATTTCTATAGACAAACTGGTATCACCTGATCAGCTTGGATTTTGTCCTGGATTTGTTGATTAATGCAGCAGATCCTTTAGGTTTAAGATGATTGTACATATCCGGGTAGAATGGTAGCTTTGGTGACTGAGTGCTGGGATTACAGGTGTGGTGTGCACCACCCCGTCTGGTGAGCTAATGTTACTACTGATTCCCTTCCTTGCTGTTGACTTCTTAGTAGCACCTCTATTCAGAAAAGTTTTTCAGGGAGTGTCTTTATAGTTTGGGGGTTTTTTTTCTTAGACTTATATTGATTTTTTCCCCCTCCTCTCACAATTTAAAAATTACTTCAAATTAGCTTGCACAGCCAGCTGTGTCTGTTAAGTTCTTATGCTCTGTGTTCCGGTATTACTCATTTGATCCAGCCACAAACCTTGTGGTGAGATCTGAGCAGAGTGCATTGTGTATTAATGGGGTGAAAGTGCTTGTGTCTTGTGCTGAGCCTGTGGGGAGACGGAGTTACTGTGCCCCTGTTGTTTCCTTCACAGAGTTGGTGGCATCTGACAAAGAACCATGCTACCTGGCTGAAACTCCAGGACGGCTATTGTCCAGGTCATTTTATAAAAGCCCAACACTGTCAATCGTACGTAATAGCAATGTGCAAACTAGTAAAGCTAACACATTAGATAGACACTGGTCAGCTTCTAAGTCGCTGTGTTGTAACTAATGCAGTAGATGGTAGTTTCTGGGGCCTTGATAGGCAAGTGTGCCCGCATGCATAGTGCAGTCCTTGTCCCCAGGTTGTCGCAGGTACCCGCACCTGGCAGGAGGGATGAGGAGGTACTCTGGGCCAGATTGCAGATTTGTCTCTGCTGCTCATGCCAGCTGTCATCCTCATTAGGCTTTTCTCAGCTTCTGCTACTCTTCTGTGCATTTAATCATAAAGTCCCAGCCACAAAAGGGCCCTTGGCTTTGTGTCTGCAAGTAATGTCCTCCCTGGCCTAGCACCTTTCTGGGGATCCTGTTGGGGAGCTTATTGTGGTATCCAGGGCACTCTGGGAAACAGGGTACATGAGAGAGGCCTACATTTGTGTGGTGGGGGGCAGGCAGAAGTAGAGGTGCTATTGATTTTTTGACGCCACTTCTCAAAATCCCCTCATTTATTTCTTTCTTAAGGCAACAGTGCATGAGTCAGTTTGAAGTTTAGAACTCTACCTCCTTTTCTCAAAAAAAAAAATTCCAGAAGTCACCCATGAAACACAAAAATGGTAACAGAGAGCCAGGCATGGTGGTGCATGCCTATAATTCCAGCACCTGGGAGGCTGAAGCAGGAGTGGCATAAGCCCAAGCCCAGCCTGGGCAGTCCTGGAAACTCTGGCTCAAATTACAAAATAAAAGGACAGGGGATACAGCTTAGTACAAGGGCTCTGGTTTCAATCTCCAGTCCACAAAGAAAAACAAAAAGATTGTAGCTGTGATGGCAAACCTGTGACACATGTGTTAGTTATTTTTTCTAAATTAAAACATCGGTGTTGAGTTTAGGGTTGTGGTTTGGGCACTTGTCTGTAAAGGTTCACCTTCACTGTCATAAAGGGAAAAAACTGAAGGGCGTTACTGTCCTAAGATTCTGAGGAAGAATCTACAAAGTTTATTTATTTATTTATTGGTCTTTTTCCTTTCTATTGGTACCAGGGATCGAACTCATGACTGCCTGCTTGCAAGGCAGGCGCTTATGCCGCTGAGCTAAATCCCCAGCCTCTACAAAGTTTATTTTATTAAACATCTATTAAAGTTGGCTTAGAGATGTTAAGCAGGAGACCTTTTTTTCTTCGCTGCTGTGCTGGGGATGTAACCCACGGATCCCTCCCCTGCATGTCGTAGGCTTCCTGGGAGTGCACCCTGAGCCCCAGGAGGGACTCCTAAAAGTTGCTTTTTCAGTTCCTCTCCGCCCCCTTGCGTTTGGGTGTGGCCCTTTGTGACCTGTCGCCACACTCCAGCAGTTTTCCAGCTTCGGCTGGCACTGACATGCACTTAGGGAACGTGGTTATGTCATTTCATACTACTTTCAGTTTTATGGGTTTTTAAAAGATTCCGCCCCCAGCCTCAGGATTTCAAATGATTTTAAACATTATGCTATTTACATATATATATTATATAAAATATATATCCTTATTTATATATATATGCATGCATATATATATATATATATATATATATATTTTTGATCTTTTTAAGACAATCTTGCTATGCAGTTCAGGCTGGCCTTAAACTCACTTTATAGCCCAGGCTGGTCTCGAATTTGCCATGATCCTTTTGCCTCAGCCTCCCGAGTGCTGGGATTACTAGCATGTGCCACCACTCCTGGCTGGTTACCCTCATTACAATAATTTATGATAAGGTGACTGAATTTTGTTTGGGCCATTTTTACTTAGGTAAACAAGAAAATTCTTGAATGAGAACTACATTTCCTAACCTTTTGTTATTAGATCTCTAAACAGTCCTCTTTTTCTTTTGTAATATTTATGTGAACTTGTTTTTTAAATTACAGCTGGTACTTATACTTTTTTTCCCCCAATGAGACAGGAAAGGCTGCCTGGGCTGCCCTGGAACTCCGGGGCTCACATAGTCCTCCCATTTTAGCTTCCCGAGTAACTGGGAATGTAGGTGCACACACTGTTCCCTGATTTGTGGTAGATAGCAGTAGTATCTGACTATTTTTTCAGAGTGCAACATGATCTTCTTTATCCTTTCGTTGAAGCTGTTGTCACTAGTTTCACTTTGCCTAGAGCAGTACCTTCCCACTGCATCTAAGCAGGAAAGCGGACTGACAACAGTTAATGTTCACTAAACACTTAATGTGGGACACTTCAAAGGTTTTGTGTGTTTGTGTATAAGTTACTGTGTCTGCTGGGGGTTTTTTGTTTATTTTGGAGGTTTATGTGGAGACAGGGATCAGTGTGTAGTTCAGGCTGGGCTTAAACTCATTGAATAGCCCAAGTGACCTAGAACTTGCAGTGATCCTCCTGCCTCAGATTCCCTAGTGCTGGCATTATAGGCATACATCACTATACCTGGCTCTGAGGTTATATTCCATAATATTTTTCAATACAAGATTTTAAAATTACTTAGTATTGAGTAAAACTGGTAGCCTGAAAATGCCTGTCATGTCTGTCATTTATGACTTTTTCTATTCTCAGGCATTCCTTGTACCAGTGGTTTGAGAAGCACTAGCCCACTGGATCCAGTCCATGTTTTTGTATGACACCAGGAGTGAACGGCATCCTTCTTCACATACTTGGGCCTGGGACAGAGCTCAGAGGCAGAAGTGCCTGCTTGGCTTATGGGACTGTGTTCATCCCCAGCTCTGCTAAGAAAATAAGATGTGATTGGCATGGAAACTGCCATTGAGGACTGGGGACTTGGCTCAGCGGTGGAGCGCCTGCTTGGCAAACATAAGGCCCTGAGTTCTTTCCCAGTACATAAAGGAAAAGAAACTGCTGTGGAGTAGCTGCTTGAGCCTTATACATAGATGTGCACTTCCTTGTCTGCAAGAGGCCTTGACAAGTTACCTGTCCTGTGGTCTTGCTGTTCTCCTGCATACCTGACATTTAAACATTTATGTTTCCCCTCCATAAAATAATCGTGTTTCTGTCTTTTGCCTGATGTGTTCCTCCCCTTGCTTGTGTATAGCTCAAGTAGACTTCCCCCCAGGAGGCTGACCAGAGGCCATCTCTGTCAGCTCTAGCTACTTCAGTGCTTCGTTAGCACCTGATTTCTGTTTCCTACAGTGTGGTGTGTAGTTACTGGTGCATACAGCTAGGAAATTCCTGAGTACCTGGGTCTTGTCTGTGTTCACGCAGGTCAAGTACCTGTCACCTAGCAGTATCTAAATGTTTGTTGAATGAATGAGCAAATAATGACAGTGCTTGGTTGATCCAGCTTTGCTTTTGGAAGCTATAGACCTTGTGATTCTGCCTTGCCAGGGAGATTGAGGCAGTGATCTGACCCCTGGACCCTGGGAGTGTGGCTCCTCTGGCTGAGGGGGCACGTTACAACTGTGGTAGGTGGCAATTCAGGTGCATACTAGGCAGAATCAGTCACGCTTTTATCTGAGCTTGATACTCATCTGTTTCTTTCAGGAACTGTTGGACAAGTATTTAATAGCCAATGCAACTAATCCAGAGAGTAAAGTCTTCTATCTGAAAATGAAGGGTGATTACTTCCGATACCTTGCTGAAGTTGCATGTGGTGATGATCGAAAACGTAAGTATGTGCGATTTGCAGGGTAGGCCAGACTGCAGGAGTGGAGGTGGCTGGGAGCTTCCAGTGGCAGTCTGGGCACATCTTTTGGGCTCTGTGCTGTGTTGTGTTTTGGGTTTGGTTTTTGATCCTGGAGATGGAACCCTGGGCCTCCTAGGCAAGTGCTCTACCACAGAGCTCCATTCCCAACCTTTTTTTATTTTTGAGACAAGATGCTGGGGTTGGGGGCTGGGGGTTTAGCTCAGCAGCATAAGCGCCTGCCTTGAAAAGCAGGCAGTCGTGAGTTCGATCCCTGGTACCGATAAAAAGGAAAAAGACAAAAAAAAAAAAAAAAAAAGATGCTGGGGCTGGTTTTGAGCATGATTTTCCTGTCTCAGCCTCATAAATAGCTGGGGTAACAGATGAGCACCACTCTGCTGGCCAGGTTCTTTGTAACTTAAAACACAATTGTAGAACTTACATATCAAGAAACTGAATGCTGACTTCCTAAAAGTTAGTTGTGAATTTGTCTTATCTACCCTTTTAAATAATAACATGTAACCCTTAATTGTTATTCCATATTGTATTATTAAAAACAGGTTACTTTTATGTTTTGGGGCTTGGGATTTTGTTTAGCTCCAGAACTTTGTGAGTGATTCTGCATTTTACACAGAAGTTAGAGGCTGTTGTCCTTTTCTGTTGGTTGTGTCCATTGCCTTGTGTTAAGGAGGGGTCACAGTGTTGCTGATTATATACAGCTGTGTTTGTGCAGAGGCGCATTAACATGAGAGTGTATTGCTGAAGTATAATTTGTTCTAACTTCACAATGAGCTTGAATGACCCATATGGTTAGGGTTCATTTGAATGCAGGGTAACTGTGTTGGCTGGGAAAATAGTCATCGTGAAAACAGATTCGAGGGTGTCTTGTGGGCCATGGAGGAAGCGGCTCCTGCTGCATCTTGTCCTAGGGCTATGTGCTGTGGGGTCACCTATCCTGAGCCTGTGGTGGGCCAGGGAGAGGTCTGCACATCCTCACGGCATGCTGTCCACTGCTTGGTGGCCGGCCTTAGCAGTGTTATCCTGTCCAACCTGACACTGCACCTGCTGGACCTTGCGAAGATCTGCTTCATTGTGGGCGATGGATTGGAACTTGGACCAAACTGTAAAGGGGTCCCTGTTGCCCAGCTGCCATTTAAAAACTCAATACTGTGAAGAGTTAAGGTATCACTCCAAGTGTATGTGTGCAGGTTTTTCCTCACCTTACATTCTCTTTTTCAGTACCATTAAATCATACAAAATAGAAGGAATACTCAAATAGTTAGATGCCACAGAATGCCTCATCTCAGCTGTTGAAGCAGGGGCTGTGACCCTCTGTGTTATAACCCATTATGGGTAGTGATGAGGATGGTGGTCACGCCACACAGCACCAGCATGAGAGAGTAGTGATACACTGGTGGAAATACATCATCAGTGGGAAGGATTTTACAACGTAAATGCTCCCAGTTTGATTAGAATAACTCCAACCTGCTATGCAACTCTCGTGGCCTATGAAAATGTCTCTTCATTTCGTACTTGACCTTCGAGAAAAGAAAGTAAGATAAAAGAAGATATTTCTGGTGCCTGTGCCCCAGGCGTAACTGGCTCCTTTGAGACATAAAGCTCAGGTGAATGCTGCACAGCATCTCAACTCATAATTGCATTGGTCTGTGGAGTTAGAAGTCCAAAGTGGCTGCACCTTTGCAGCGAGTGCTGGGGGACTCGGCTGCCTCTGCCTGTGACAGCTGTCCTCCACAGGACATCGAAGCCAGCAGTGAGTGAGCTTTGCACTCACCATGCAAGTAGAAACTTAATTTGCAGCCTATGTAAGTAGGTTATAGGAATGTGCTTCTTTTTCTAATCTCATTGCCTGGATTGACTTTAAAATTGCCCTTTATGCTGTAGCAAGCAGTTGGCTTCACAGGAAGATACGAGTGTTCCTGGGGTAATAACCTGTAGGATAAGATGTCACCCAGACCTGATGGGTGAGAAGATGTACACATCCGTGTGGATGCCTTCAGCTTAGCTCAGCTGGAATGCGCTCACTGTGGGCCTTTGAGAAGTGAACTCGATGCTCTAGGAAAACTCGGTGTCTGTTGTCACCCCATCGCTAATTCCTTTTCAGAAGCATTTCCATAATTTCAAATAGATTCCTGATTTATTTTTGGCATAAGTACTTTTCTCTCTCTGTGTGTGTGTGTGTGTGTGTGTGTGTGTGTGTGTGTGTGTGTGTTTCATTTTTATCGGTACCAGGGATCGAACTCACAACTGCCTGCTAGTGAGGCAGGCGCTTATGCTGCTGAGCTAAATCCCTAGCCCCATTGGCATAAGTACTTAAATGTTTAAATTTATAGGATCTGAACTTTTTTGGTTCAGTGGTGTCAGCCTTTATTTAGCATACATAGCTATGGATCACTTACTAGAGATGCTGAGTAGATCTGGCAGCTTTGACAGACGCTAGAATATTTGACTCTGTTTGCTAACTGAATGGCAGTGAGAGACTTCTTTCATTTTTGGCTTTATGGATCCAGATCCCACATAAAGATTTAACTTATTTGGTTGGTCAAATTCAGATTGAAATACAGATTACATTAGTGGCCATAATTGATTTTACTTAAGTCATTATAGATGTTTATAAACACAAAGGCCTAGCCTAAAAGATGTCAGTAAGCTGAATGTGGTGGTGCAAGCCTATATTAACAGCACTCTGGGAGGCTGAGGCATGAGGTTTTCAAGTTCAACCCCAGCCCAGGAAAATTTAGTGAGATTATCTGAAAAAAAAAAGTATCTGTGCTGTTGTACTTTACTTCATTGTAATTAAGACATTGGGGTTTTCAAAGCCATATTTAAATGGCTTTTTAATATGTTGGAAATGGGATTTAATTTTAAAAATTGAAAAGAAAATAGATTTAAGTATTGTGGTTTGTTTAAATGTCCCCACTAAAGCCTCATGGGTCATAAGACATGGGCCTTTCTAGGGCAGCTGAGTCTAGTGTTTGTAATTGGTTCGTTGTCTAGACCTGGGATTAGCAGTGTAAATGCCTCACCCACCCAGGGGTGGAGCCGCCGCCATAAGGGAAGGAAGGAAGCAAGCTTTCCTGCTTTTGCTCTTTTCCCTTGTTTGTGGCCATCATGAATGGTTGCTCCTATGCCTCGACACCCTGCTTTCCTTCCCTCATTTTGGACATCAGGTGTTTTGTCTCAGCAATGAGAGAAACGTAACCAAGGCAAGTAATAAATACTTAACTTTTAAAAACCATAATCAATTTGCCTAATTTGAAAGTGAAAACATCTCCCGGACTATTATTGTTCCTTGAGTGTAATATGAGTCCTACTCAGTTTTGTGTATGCCTGCTTCTGCATTTACCATGCTCACAGGAGTTGGTGGCACATACCTGTAATCCCAGTTTGGGCCAGGCGGAGATAGGAGGATTGCTTCGAGTTTGAGTCCAGCCTGGGCTGCATAGTGATATCTTGTCTCCAAAAACAAACAAACAATTTCACCACATTCTAGGTAGACAAATATCACTTCTGATTTTTTTTTTACCAGTAAGTATCTTTTTTTGTTGTTAATGTTGACCTATCCAAAAAGATATACTCCTACCAATAGTTACTGTGATCTCTTACTGAAATGGAGATACTTTTGTCATCTGAATATCAGTATAATTGAAATCATAAAGAGAAAATGAACCTATTGTAACAAAATCTGTATACTAGCTGGCTTGGGAGTACACAGCTATACTCCCAGCGTTGGGGGGCTGAGATGGGAGGATCATGAGTTTGAGGCCAGCCTGATCTGCATAGCAAGTTCAAGGCTGCCCTTGTGACTGACGGTACAGCAAGACACTGTCTGAGGAACAACAACAAACCAGGTGTACATCTGTAGCCCCAGTACTCTGGGAGGCAGAAGCAGGAAGATCTTAAGTTCAAGGCCAGCCTGGGCTACATAGCGAGACCTTGACTCAAAACAATAAAAATCTGTGTCCTAATTTTACTTACTGTGTTACTGATGTGTAGTTTCTGTGTCATAAACAGAATTGGACCTGAAAATTTGGCACAGGAATGAACATAGAAATCCAGCAGGCCAAGAGTATCTTTGGGAGAATGAGACATAGCTGCTGGCTGGATGGAGACCATTAGCACTTCTGGGTCCCACACAGCCCTGTGTAGATAATTGCATTGCTTCTGGGCGACCAGAAGCTTCTTGTATCAGGAGGGCTGTCCCAGCTATGACTAGACAGCAGGCTCCGTTGCAGAGGAGGGAAGGAAGGTGCCACGTTCTGGTGTAAAGGGTGGATTGGTTTGTGTCACAAAAGTGGCTCTAAAGCTGTCGTGTGCCAGTGACCTGATGGAACTGCTTTATGAAAGCAGTAATGATTAGATTAGTATTGGTAATATTTCCTGAGATTATGTTTTTAAGTGGGGTGACATTTTTATTAATCCAGTAGCCAAACTGATCAAAGCAGATTTTGGCACTTTGGAACCTATTTTTACTGAAAAAATTTTTTTAAACTATTGAGGCAGAGTCTTACTGTGTAACCCAGCCTGGCCTGCGCTCACAAGGTACTCTAGTCTGGCCTTCAACTCATTATCCTGTTCTTTTTTTTCTTTTTTCTTTTTTCTTTTTTTTTTTTATTGGTACTGGGGATCAAACTCACGACACCTGCTTGCAAGGCAGGTGCTTATGCTGCTGAGCTAAATCCCCAGCCCTGATTTTGGCACTTTTATTGCCTTTTACTTAGTATGGCTTGATACCAAGATTATTGATACCAATATTATTTCCACAAGTTATAAAAACATAACTTGTGGCACTTTTGAACCTATTTTTACTGAAATTTTTTTGTTTTAAACTATCGAGACCGAGTCTTACTATGTAACCCAGCCTGGCCTGCGCTCACTCTAGGCTGAATAAACATAACTTTATTTTTCATAAAAAAAAAAAAACAGTATTATCCACAAGTTATAAAAAATGTTATAAAACACAAAGACTCTGTAAAGCGTTCTCATTATTTAAGAAAGGGGTAATCAATGAAGGTTTTTTTTTTTTTTTTTAGTGAAGTTATTTTTAATTGTTGTGTTTCTAAGTAATATATAAGATAGGAAAGAAGAAAATAGTTTTAGCCCTAGAGTTGAGGAAGTCTGTGCTATTTTAGGGTTTTGATTAAGCAGATTATAAGTAAGCAACCTTGTAAACTAGTTTTTAAATACCTGGTATTTGGTTCCTAGGGTTATTTTTTTATTTTATTTTATTTTATTTTAAGGCCAAAAATCTGGTTCTGCCAGGAGCCAATAAGCAGCATGTTTGAATATTTAGCATACCATATTCTGAATAGACATCTTTGGAGTCATGCTTTTATTGATTTATTTACTTATTTTCCTTCACAGAAACAATAGATAATTCCCAAGGAGCTTACCAAGAGGCATTTGATATAAGCAAGAAAGAGATGCAGCCCACACACCCCATCCGCCTGGGGCTGGCTCTTAACTTCTCTGTATTTTATTATGAGATCCTTAATAACCCTGAGCTTGCCTGCACGCTGGCCAAAACGGTAAGCTTGAATGTGTTCGGGAGATGGCAGCTAAGGTTGCTTGACGTACACTTTGTCCTGTGTGTCCTCACTTTTCACCTTTCCTTAACCCTTTCCACACCACATTCTTGCGTTACGAGCAGCAGTACTTGACTAAAGAGTGCACTGGGCACAGTGATCTCAGGAAACGTGAGTGACTTTACAAAGGGAACGTAGAAGGTTAGAAAGTAATGCCTGCCAGGTTAGGGCCAAGCGCCTGTGTTCTCCACAGTTTCAGAATGGGAGAGAAGGAGGGTCTTTTGCAAATAGATGCAAGTTCTTGTGTGAGCGGTGTGTGAAGCCTTGCTACCATACTGTGCGTTTGTCCAGGGAGTTCTGTCCGTGTAGGTATTCATATGTGGATATTGCTGTTTATCAGGCTTTCGATGAGGCCATCGCAGAGCTTGATACACTGAATGAAGACTCCTACAAAGACAGCACTCTCATCATGCAGCTGCTCAGAGACAACTTAACAGTGAGTGCCATAGTCCTGTTTCCTCTCGGGAGTAACAGCATCTTTGGGGGCAGTTACATAAGAGCTGTCCTCTTCTAGAAAATGAGTATATAGACCTGAACGTGATATTGGCAGACAGGTTTTCAAGGTGAATAAGCATTCTGTCAGATTGCTAAGCTTGTAGGAACTGGTGAAATTGTTCTCTTTGGGATGAAGATACCGATAAACTGTCACTGTGAGAGTTTTCACAGAGCTTGAGAATTTCCTTTCTTTGAATGAGTTAGCTGTACCAAGTTAGGGGCTTGAGGACTATGAGGCTTTCCTACAAGTACATGAACTCCTTGTTCTAGTAAAGAGTTTGCTTTCTGAATTACTCATGATGTTTGCAAGTGTTTCACAAGGAATAAACATGTATCTAAATCATCCCTCCAAGACCCAAGCTTCTGTTTTCTTTGTTGATCAGGGAAATGTGTTAATTCTCCATCACTGTCACAAAATACCTGCAATAAATAGCTCGTGATAGTTCAAGATTTATTTTGAGTATGATTCCACTGTGGTGGAAATCCATGGAGGGGAGAACCTGTTTACCTCATGGTGGCCCTGAAAACAGAGAGAGGAGGTAGCTTGGGACCCAGTGCCCCCTTCAAGGTCGTCCCCCAAATTACTTACTTTCTCCAGGTAGGTCCTACTTCCTAAAGGGCCCACCACCTCCAACTAGCAGCATGAGCTGGGGCCCAAGCCTTAATAGGTAAGACCTTTGGGGGACACTTGAGACTCAAACTACAGCTGAAGTAACTGAGTAGGTACAGTGTGAACTTTGCATAGTTCACCATCACCACCACCCTGGTACTGGGGGTTGAAACCAAGGCCTTGGCATGAACTGTGTGCCCTCCTACTCTCTGCTCTCAGGAAGAGACGGGAGTACAGGGATTATGGGCCGGCACCACTATGCCAGCTATATAGTATTCTCATTGTTCAGGTCACTTTGGTAGGGTGGTATCTGATCTTAGCCTTCGCAGAAAGTGAAAGAAAGGAATAGCTTTTTTGTTTGTTCATTTTTTTTAACTGGACATTGAATCCAGGGCCTTTGCACTAAGCTACATCCCCAGCCCTTCAAAATTTTTTTTGAGATAGGCTCTCAAAATTTTTTGAGTTATCTAGGGTGGGCACAACCTTGCACTTCTACCTCAGCCTCCTAGACTGCTGAAATTACAGCCTGTCTTAGCTGGCCCAACACGCTGCATTCTTAGGCCTAAGAGATCCCAGTACTTGTAGGGGACAATTGAATGATGAACAGCGCTGTGGGAGGTGAGCAGGCCGGTGAGCCCACCTCTTCCCCATGTATCTCAGAGCTGCCTTTTAATAGTTTGTGTTCTTTTCTGTCTCACACAGTCTTCGGGGTATTTGCCTTTGTTTATTTCTGTTTTGTTGTTATGTTAGTATTTTAGCAATAACTTAATGATTATGTAGAGTTGCAGCTTTTCTAAAACGGACAGTAGTGTCAGTCTGATAAAATCCACATTTCACTTGATTAGTAAGATTGGCTTTTCGTCCCACTCTAAGATGAGCATTCCTTGGGAGTATTTCTGTTATTTTTAGCATCCTGCCTGCCTGGTGGAGGCTGTGTGTTCGATGCATGGACACCCATTCCTCTCCACGGCCTTTGCCCACTACCAGGACTCTGCACATGGCACAAAAGAGGTCTACTGCTTTTCCTAGGTCTCAGTCCTTCACGGGCTTGGCAGCCCCTGGCCATGATTGTCCCCTTCCTGTAGTTTTTACCTTACTAGTCTCATGAATTACCCTTCCACCGTGCTTTCAAGAAGAGCAGTGTGCTTCTGGGAACAGAGTGGATGTTAGGGTGCTGCCTCGTTGTTTCCAAAGTGACAGTGTTTTTAAAGTAAAAAGTAAACTGTACAAATGGAAAAGGTGGGGGTGGGAGGAGGAGATGGGAGGCCTTGGAGTTGGGAGACAGAGTTTTCGAGTCTTAGCCAACTCTGCTTGAGGAATTTGCTTATGTCTGAGTTTCGTTCTGATACAGCTGGAAGCCTGATATAGTCACTGAATGGGGTTCCTCTCTTCCAGTTATGGACATCAGACAGCGCAGGAGAAGAGTGTGATGCGGCGGAAGGGGCCGAGAACTGAGTGCGCACAGGGTGTCATCCTCCTCCTAACAAGAAACCTTTTTACACATCTCCATTCCTTACTCCACTCGGACTCCCTCTGGCAAAGAACCTGGAGGCGGCCATTCCTAGTCTTTCCACACTGCAGCTTTGGGAAAACTCCATTCCTTGGTTTGTGTTTGTCTTGGCCTTCCTGATGTGCAGTTACTGCTATAGAAAAGTATTAATAGCTTCCTTTCATATAAACATAAGTAACTTCCAACACTTATGCAGAGGACTAAAAGTGTGTCTGGCATTTAAGTAATCCAAACCAGTTCTGCAGTGACTGCATTCTGTATTACTGTGGAGATTTGACGACCGCGTAGTTAATTACAATTTAAAGAGAGTTCTACAGAACCTCTCAACTTCTACATTCCCTCCCTTTCTCTTCTTTGGGGTTTCCTTTCCTTGAGCAACTTGTCCATCCTCCTGCCGTGTTCCTGTTTGGTGAGAATCCAGAAGTATTAGATTGAATGAGAAAGCGTGTCTCTGGGCTGGGAGTCACAAGTTGAAAGCCTCCTGTCTCACATTCAGTGGAGGTCATGTCTGCCTGCGACAACAGAGTTTCCTTGTTCACCTTCGTTTGCTGCTGTTTAAGTTGACAACTTGCCAATAAAAATTCACTTACACCTCCTGCCTTTGTAGTTCTGGTATTCACTCTACTATGTAATAGAAGTAGCATGCTGCTGCCCGAACCCAAGCATTGCTTTTGGCCAATTAAAGTGCGCGTCATTCACTCTTCATACACTAGAAAAGGGGAATAGAGGAATGCACACGAGTCCATGAAACTTTAGTACTTTTCCATGCAGATCTGTGCACATGTGAGAGGGGGTCCGGTTTGTCCAGCGAATGTTCCTTAAAGAGGTGGACCCCTACTGTGTGTTGCTAATCACTGACTGTAGTCCCAAAAAAGCCTTGTGAAATTGTGTTATGCCCTGTGTAACAGCAGAGTAACAGAATAAAGTTACGTTTTATAAAACCACTTCCTGTGGCTTTGTAATAGTCGCATGCCCAAATTTGAAGGACAGGTGGATTTCCTACTTCCTGGAGTTTATTGGCACTTGCTTTTATCTTACGCAGTATATTTGCAGTGCCCATACTTCTGCATTTTAGGGTGCTTGTCGGGATGCCTGACAGCATGTAATGTGGACTGTGTTTCTTATGCTGTTTGCCGTGGATTAATCTCAGCCTACTGTTCCTCAGATGCACTGTGAACGGTGTCTGGCTGAGTGTTGAGTGGAATAAAGTGGACATTTGAAAACTAGAAGAGCCTTGGCTGGTGGTAGAATTGTGTTTCCGTTATCATCAAACAATATTCTCCCTGGAAACCTTCAGTTTTACCACTAGCAAGTTTCACACAACATGCTTTAATTGTATTGTGTGATGTTTTGCTAATCTGTCCTAAGTATTGATTTGAAAGCTGAGTTTCAAGTCAGAAGATAACTATTAGCTACGTAGGTTTTCCTTTAGATCTTCTAAAATGTGAGTGTGAAGTAAGGCTTTCTGGGGGAAAACAAAAAGGCAGAATTCAGTAGCACTTGGGGAAGCGCGCATTTAAGTAAGATTAAGGAGACTTTCTAATAAAAATTTCCATGAAGCTAGGTATGCATAGTAGTGTATGCCTATAATCCTAGCTATTCAGGTGGCTGAAGCAGGAGGATGACAAGTACAAGGCTGGTTGTGCAACTTGTTGATACTTTATCTCAAAATTAAAAAGTTGGCTGGGGATTTAGCTCAGCAACATAAGCGCCTGCCTGGCAAGAACAAGGTCGTGAGTTCAATCCCCAGTACCAAACAAAACAAAACAAAAAATTTAAAAATCTGTTTATTTATTTTGTCTTTTTGAGACAAGAGTCTTCTACAATTCAGGCTGGCCTTGAGCTCACTTTGAGGGTCATGAGCTCCCAACAATCCTCCCTCAGCCTCCCAGTACTAGGAGGCGTGCACCGGCATGCCCGGCTAAAAAATCAAATTTAAAAAAGTAGCTCAGTATTCCCCAGAATCAATCCCTTGTATTGTGCAAGCAACAACAAAAAAAGTTATTTCCATGAAGATAGAATACTAAATTGGGGAAAACATGGTCATATTTTAAGAATAAAATGGATGTAACCCTAACACTCAGGAGGCAGAGGCAGGAGTATAGCCACAAATTTGAGACCAACCTGAACTATACAATGAGACCCTGACTCAATTAAAATAAAAAAATGGTGAATATAGTTAGGGATTACAAGCCTCCGTCAGCTTGATATTGGCAGCATATGGCCTGTTTGCATGTCTTCTGTCTTATGGAACTGCAGCATCTTTAAGAGCAGGAGGTCTAGGGGTGAGGAGATTTAAGCTTTCATTTTTTGTATTTGTACTGCATCAGATTGAACCCAGAGGTCCTCTGCCACTGAGCCACCCCTAGCTCATTTAATATTTCCGAAAAAGGTCTTGTTAATTAGGTTTCTTAGGCTGCGCTGAAACTTCAGATCCTCCTGCCTCAGCCTCTTAAGCTGCTGGAATTGCAGGTATGTACTGTGACTCCCTGCTGATGAGTATGCTTTTTTGCAACTCTAGGTCATACCCAGTTAGTATGGGAATTTAATGAGTTACAGCTTTGATTTTGCTTTGTTTTCTGTTTTTATTAAAAACGGGTAAATGCACAGTGTGTTACAAAGGTCATACATCTTGTGACCCTAGTTGCAGTTCGTGTATCTGGACGTAGACTGGATTGTGACAATTGATTTCAGGTGAGTTTGGAAGCAATTTCCAGACTGTCTTCAAGGGTTATTTGAAGTCCACCTAAGACTGTAAGTTGGTCGTAGCTTTGAGGCTGTGAATGATGCCAGAGGCATCAGCAGGGGACATTTAGGTCCTTTCTATACAGTCTTGTGACACAGTGGCATTTCCTACTGCAGAGTATGCTCATCAGTGGGTGTTCCTTGACTCCCTTTACTCAGAAAGGAGAGACTCCCTCTGTGGAGTGATACTGTGTCATCTCCATTGCTGAAAGAGTGGTGCAGAGACCCAGTCTTTTCCTTCTCTTTCAGACTGTGTCATCAGGGTGCCCAGCTGAACCTGAGACCACCATGCAGAGCCCAGCAGCGTCACAGCACATTTAGGGTTTATTTACCTCTGGGTGGCTGGGGGTAAGGGAGGATCTTCATGGGACACAAGTCACTAAGCGAGAGCCAGGCATAATGGCACACTTCTGTAATTCCATCATTCTAGGAGGCTGAGGCGGAAGGTTGCAAGTATGAGCCCAGCAAGTTAGTGATTTTATTTATTTACTGTCCTTTTGAGACAGTCTCGCTATGTGGTTTGGGATGGCCTTGAGATCACTTTGTAGGCCCAGGCTGGTCTCAAACTTGCCATGCTCTGCTTGCCTCAGCCTCCCAGTACTGGGATTACAGGAGTGTGCCGCCATAGCACAGCTGGCTGTAATTTGATTGTAAAGTGATTCAGTGAGACCCTGTCCCCATAAACGGAAGGCTGGGGCTGTGACAGTGCGGAAGTCCAAGGTTCAGTCCCTGGTATCGCAACAAAAATGACGTGTGGTTGGACCTAGATTTAGCTGGGAGTAAAAGACCTTATTCTGCAAGGCTCCTGAATTGTTTGTCTGGGCCTCACTGCGGTTTTCAGGAGTGGGTTCTTCCTCACGTTTACCGAAAGGGTTTTTGTCTTTTTGAGACCAGAGTCTTACTGTGCCATTCAGGCTGGCCTTAAAGTCACTTTTGTGGCCCATGCTGGCCTTGAACTTGAAGTGATCCTCTTGCCTCAACCTCTTGAGTGCTGAGAGTACAGGTGTGCACCACCATGCCTGGCTTCAAGAGAGCTGCTGAGTATAATTTGAGCCAAAAGTTTCCTGCTCTCAGGCAGGTGTAGTGCTGTGGGCTCTGCATGTAGCCTGGGCTGCACTGAGCTGGTATCTGCTCTGCATGTGCTTAGGGTTAGTTGCTACCAAAGACACTGTGTGCAGAAACGAAGCCAAATCCACGCATTTAGAGCCTTCTGTGACTGATGAGACATGGAAGTCTGGCTTTCTATCCACCCTCAGTGGACAGGGTGAGGCTACTGACCGGCTCAGCAGACCTGGCCTGTAGATGTGTGTGCTGGAGGTGACCGCTTGTTACTCCTCACTCAGGGTGTGATCAGCTTACCGTCCAGCTGAACAGCCTGGCCCTGCAGGAAGCTGGCCTGCTCCATGCTTGGTGCTTGGTGCTCAGTGCCTGGTGGCTGCCGGCATTAGAGCTTTGCGTGTCCTTTCTCTGTATGAGCCCCATGGCTGTCTCTGCAAGGCCATGTCAGAGCCGTGCTCCCTGAGCTCTGGTATTAAAGGTCTCCTGGAGTTTGGTAAGAACCTTGGAGGATTCACCGGAAGGACTTTGGAAGGCAAGCGGGCCAGCTTTGCACAAGGAAAGTAAATGGGACACGATGGACATGATAGGACCCCTTTCTAGAAGTACACTTATGTGGGGCTGGGGATTTAGCTCAGTGGCATAAGTGCCTGCCTTGCAAGCAGGCAGTCCTGAGTTCGATCCCCAGTACCGATTAAAAAAAAAAAAAAAAAAAGAAGTACACTTATGTTCCCATCCCTGCCTTACAGATGGTGTGTGACCTCAAAGCCCAGCCTAGAAGCCAGAGATCTGCCCTGCTCTCCCACTCGCCTGCTGCAATCACCGCCCACCAGCCAGGGGTCAGGTGTGCTGCAGTGCCCTCGGCCTCCATTGCTCTGTGTTCAGCTCTCTGGAAAGGTACACAACCAGCGGGGTGTGATGGCACCTGCCTGACATTCCAGCATGGGCCAGGAGGATCTTGAGTCAGAGCCTGCCCCTGGACAGCATGGTGACTGAGAGACCCCTGTCTTGGGCAAAGGGCAGGTGTGCACACAATGCAAAGGCACTGGGTTCCAATTCCTAGTACTGCTAGGAAAATTAGTTTTCCCGAGTGTGGTGGCAAGGCTGTGAGATACACAGAGGGCTGCTCGGGGAGTAGTGGCAGGACAGCCTCAATGGGGCTCTAGTGAACTATAATAGAGTGAATTCATCTTGGAGATAAGCATGTTCACCATACTGTGCAAACCTATTGCCCTAGATTTTCAAGGACAAAGATGCAAAATGTAACTTGGGAATGCAAAATTAAAAGCGATTAAGCAGTGATTTTACTTTTAATTAGCATTCTTTGTGGAATTCGGTGGGGAAAAGTCACTGAGCAAGTGAGCCAGAGCTCAGGACCCAAGCTCAAGTGCCGGGGAGAGATGCCTGCTCCTCTGTGGTCAGCAGCAAACTGAGCCAAGTGTCTGGTGCATCAAGGTCACGGAGTCACCCATTGCATCCATCATCTCCCCCCATAGTCACTACACAAGTGACAGGACCACAAGGCCCAGGTTCACAGCAGAGTCACCTGAAGGCTTTGTAGCCACCCTCGCCGAGGTTTCAATTGGGTTGATCGGAGAAGAACCAAGCAGGCCCTTTGTATTCCCAGGTGAGCCCTGGAGAGAGAAATTGTACTTCCTGGGTGCCACCACAGGGCAGCACAGGAGCTTATGTGCCAGCCCTGTCTTGGTTGGCCCTTCTTCCTCAGGGTATGGCTTAGTATTAAAGTAAAAAGTGTTACTCTCGGGGCTAGGGATTTAGCTCAGCGGCATAAGCACCTGCCTTGCAAGCAGGCAGTCATGAGTTCGATCCCTGGTACTGATAAAAAAAAGTGTTACTCTCGTCCTGACCAGGCAGACCTCATGACTGCAGAGTGTCAAGGATTTAAGTGTTAACAGTAATCTAGTGCTAGCTGTGGAGGCACATGCCTGTAATCCCAGCACATGAGAGGATGAGGCAGGAGGATTGACAGAGGCCAGCCTAAGCTACAAAGTGATTCAAGGCCAGCCTGAACTGCAGAGTGAAGCCCTGCCTCAAAATAAATAAGGAATGAATGAATGAATAACCTTAATGTGTGTGCATGTCAGCAGGGATTGAACCCAGAGCCTCTGCACTGAGCGACATC